TGTAAACACAGAGTTAGGTTATTTGTGGGAGTGACAACTGTATTCAACAACCAAAGTCAGTTTTGCATCCTTTTAAAGTTTAAAAGCTTGCCATTGTAGGCCTATTGGAAAAAGCAAGCAACAAAATATCTTGTTTAGTCATATGTCTTTAGAGTAAAATACTGTGTAAAAAATGTAACTTTAAATTTTGACACCATACATATTATTAGAACGTAACAGGCTGGCTGGAGAGTGTATTAATTGGTCAACAGTGACCTATTATGAGGTGACGAGTCTGAACTCTGAGCTCTCTGACCAAACAGAACAGAGCACTGTACACAGCAGCACACACCCTAATCTGGATTATCAACTAAATTAGATGCGTCTCTAATCCACCATTCCCAAACTCTTGCCTTAAAGGGATACTCCACCCCAAAATGAAAATATTGTCATTAATCACTTACCCCCATGTCGTTCCAAACCCCTAAAAGCTTTGTTCGTCTTTGGAACACAATTTAAGATATTTTGGATGAAAACCGGGAGGCTTGTGACTGTCCGATTGACTGCCAAGTAAATTACTGTCAAGGTCCAGAAAAGTATGAAAGACATCGTCAGAATAGTCCATCTGCCATCAGTGGTTCAACCGTAACGTTATGAAGCGACGAGAATACTTTTTGTACGATATCTTAAATTGTGTTCTGAAGACGAACGAAGCTTTTACGGGTTTGGAACGACATGGGGGTAAGTGATTAATGACAAAATTTTAATTTTGGAGTGGAGTATCCCTTTAACCACTTGATTTCAGATAGGCAGGAAACACAAACCAGTGGGGCTTCCTTATCGGTATGTCCCGTTTGACCCCATGCTGATGTCTACATGTTCACTTTCAGGCGTCCTATACTTAGATTTCTATTATCTAACTAGAAAATAAATGTTTGAGAAATGTACAAGGCAGTTATTTCAGTCTACTGCAGTTCAAGTTTCATGCATGTTTTAGCAGTGTAATAATTATTTTCAAGAAGGTCAACTTTTTAAAGTTGGTGTGCAATAAAATTATTTTCTTAATGCATATTAATATTACTGTAAATGATTAACTCATGCATATGTTATTTTTCAATCAAAATATCATAACTCTGTCTTCTTGTGAAACAGACTTTTCTCTGGGTGACCTATGCAGGACTTCTCCAATCATTAAGTCCACTTAAACCCCGTCCACATCTCAAGGTCCAATCAACAACCAGTGAACTGATCCAAGTCCTTGCCCTACATTTTTTTTTTTTCAATAACCCATTACACTCGAATATATGTCACAATTCTTTTAAATTCACTGCTTCCATTTCATCACAACTTTAAAAGACTTTTCATGAAATTACTTGCTGGTTGTAATCGATTGAGGTGCATTTTACGCAATCAAAATTTTTCTTTGGAACAAATTTCACTCATGTTCAAGCTGGTCATGTGAATTCACTGCTTTGACCAACAGAAACCTGCTTAGTCTAAAGTTTAAATTTTTCCTGAAATTTTACTAAAATTTGTAATGTAAACATTTTTCAGGTAAATGAAAAGTTGTTTGAAAACCCTTCTAAAACATATTTCTATATTGAAGCCTGTTTATCAGAAGAAGAAGAAAAACTCTGAAAACACTGATAAAAGAAGACTCTTCAGTCGTTTAGTGATACTAATCTAGCATGGCTACTGCACAAAAAATCTGTACGCGATAATGGAGATCACTGTCAAGTCAACGGCCTCAGAAAACAGTTATATAATAAAACCAAATCACAAAAAAATATTGCTTACTAGGGTCGATTACAGAAAGCTATGAACACGCAGCAATCATAAGTATGTCATGTGGCGTTCCTCGTTTAAAACACTAACTATTTTGCATCCAGAAGACGCCAGTGGTGGGCTTCTTTACTGGCATGCTGTGTTTACAGATATGCCAAGTTTGTAGACATGTGTAGGCTACTGTATGCAAACAGGTTACTGCTGGGGTCAATACACGCTTGCAGGAGAGACCCACATCAAGTCTGACCTGTCAAAACACAGGATTTTATGTTGATAATTCAGTAGGAACGTCCACTCACCCTTCTGAAGGACTTGTACGATCCCGTTAAATGAGTGTAAATCTCAGCGGATTTATTCTCGAATGCGTTTACATTGTATCAGTGCATTCTGCATGCCTTGCCTTGCTAGTCAACATGAATTCACATGGCACTTTTTGAGCGCCCCGTGCCTCATCAGCTTGAGAAAAGAGTAAACAGTTGCACATATGAGACTAATGAAAGTCAGACTTCAAAGTGTCCCCAAAAGTAGTAGGCAGGTTGCCTTCGGTGACTCTCCTCGTAGTCGCAGTTGCAAGACATTGGATTTGAATGATAGTTTGTTCTGTGAGACAAGGCGGAGTCCCAGTTCATACGCCCCGCCCCCTCTGGTAGAATCAGCCAACCAAAATGCAGAACAGGCTGCCGTTCCTCATGTTATTTAAAGAACCTAACAGACTAGTAATGTGGTGTTTAAAGCACGATGAAGAAGTGAAGGAGCGACATGTGAGCTCAAAAATCAGTCTAAAACCATTTCACATTGACAAATTATACATGAGAAACATATCTATACTTTAAAATGTATATTTAAAATATATAATCCTTATATATTTTGCTATGTGTCGCTGTAATATCTACTTTAAGTGTCAGTGGTAAGTTTCAGATTGCCAGGTTTGAGTTCATCAAGTGGCGGAACTGAGAAAAGGCAGCATGCTCTGGCAAGATGCCCACCGACAGCTTGGCTCAATCTTTTTTGTTACAAATTCAATCTCTACTGCATAACAGGAAATGGAGTGTTCAAAAAAGCCTGCCACTGCGGAAAATAGGCATTAACTAAAAAGAAAAAATCAGGGAAAGTGGGAAATATGTTTTCTCTCACATGCTTTTTCTTCGGTGAATTCACCAGCAAAGGATAATACTGAGTGTTTACACTAATGTTTGTCTAAATGGGACAAAGGGCCAAGAAAGTCTACCTACATTGTGTGTAATGTGTGTGTGTGTGTGTGTGTATGTATGTGTGTGTATGTATGTATGTGTGTGTGTGTGTGTGTGTGACACAGCTGATGGTGCGTGGTCTGATGGAATAAGTGCAAACAGTCATTAATCTTGGAGTCTGACATTTGATTTCAGGCGTTCAGGGTAAAGCTTGCTGTCCTAACAGACTGGTCATTATCTGCTTACCATAACCTCCCTATTAGATTGTAGGTCTCTTAAAAATAACAATATTTATGACAATATAAAGTGTATAATGTAAGTGTAATGTTGTCATAATTCTCATTGAGAGAAGTGACTTCATAAATCACCATAATGAAGCAAATCACCATTAATTATTAACATTACTTTTACAAGAATAAAAGGCTGAAGAAGAACAAAAATAACGTATATTTTTGCAGTACATTGACATAATATTACAAGATTTTGTGCTTATATGTCGAATAAGCAATGATCAGTAGTGCCTGAGGATTTACAATCACACCCAGTATTTTTCTCAAACAGAGAAAGGACTTTACAAGACAAAAGAATGCCATCTGGTGGTTGGAGAATATTATTACAGTCTTGGGCAGTTAAATTCTGCTTCTCTCTTTCTCATTTATACGAAAGTTGCCTGTCTGTTCATTTCTGGTTTTAAACACATTAGACAACAAAAAAACCACAGTAGACTATAGATGTTGCTTATAATGTTAATATATTATAATGTCTTATAAAGTAAAGATTACTGTACTAATGAGTAAACAAAATATATGTTTAGAAGCAGGTTTACGTTAAACATCCCCAAATTACATATATAGAAGCCATATTTTGGAATGGAAGTCAAATTTGAACCAATTGTTCTACAGAGTAAACCATCAAATACATTTAAGGTAAATGTGGCACAGATATCAGATTTGTAACTAGATTAGGAGGGGGTCATATGGAGAGAGCTCATCTTTCTTAAGCATGACAACAGCTGCAGGATGTGGTTAGATTTTACATAAGGTCAGACATTTGTTTACCCTCTATCTCATAGTATTACTCATAGTATTCATAGTATCTCATAGTATTACTTTTACAATGCTTTTAACAATACCATACCTTTAATGCAAGCTCTTTCTTAAGATTCTTTTCAGTGTACGAAGAGATTTTGGAACTATCTTGGGCCTAAAATCTTCACAGTCTTGTTTAGTCCAAGCCTCCTCACAGTGGAGTTCAGTGTATTATAGTAACGCCTGGAGAGCACACTCAGCTTCCTGCTCCTGGTTTGGCAGCTGTGAAATGTTATTTTTGGAACAGAATAGTTGAGGTTCTGGGGAAAGCAACTACAGACAGATAAAAAGAACTGATATTTTAACTTCTTTGGTTATTTAACTTGGGGCAAAATGTAGGTGGGAGTCTAAAATTATGGGTTATATCATTTGAGTATTGTATTAAAATACAGAACGCAGAAATGGAAGAAAATGATAACCCTCACAAAATATGTTGCAAATGCTGAAAAACTGCAAATGTTAATAATAATAATAATAATAATAATAATAATAATAAATCCAAAATTGCTCTAAAAATGACAAACAACAATAACATACAGCAATAATAATGGGGTCATTCAATAAAAAATCATTTTGTGTCCTTCATGAATATATGTGAATAATGTGACTTTAACAATGAAAAGCTAACACTGTGCCTTATTTTATTAATATATTATTATAAATGACAATAGATATATAAATATAAATACAAACAATATAATATAACAATATAATATTATAGACATATATTTTATTTTTCTCTTTAGTACAGTAATCTATACATTATATATTATATAAATATTATATATATATATTTGCTTGCCATTGTTCATAAAACATGAACATAAATAGATAAATAATAATAATAATAATAATATGCATGGATATCAGCAACCCTTTGCCTTGTTGCATCATTTCATCTTGGTCCAGGAGTGCGCATGTCCTGGATCCTCATCTTTAAAAGACCCCTCCTCGTCATTGGTAGATGCAGCACGTGTCTATAAGTGCCGGCTGGATTTTACAAGCGCTCTCCAGTCCGCTCTATTCCAAGCGCGCACGCGGCTGATGAGAAAAGCCTGGTACCGCTTTTAAACGTGTGGAAAGACTGAGCGTGTAGAGAAAAACATGGAGGAGAAGAAGAGCGAAATCAATGGACACGCCGGGCACAAAAGCCCGTTACCAGCGGTCTCGATAAAATCAGAAAAGAAAAGCTTTAAAGACCGGTTAATGGTCTTCTTCAAACGAAACCTCCTAGTGATCTTGACGGTGTCTGGGGTTCTGGTGGGCGTTGGGCTCGGGATGATGGTCCGGAACATGAACCTAACCCGAGCGCAAATGACTTACTTCGCCTTCCCCGGAGAGATGCTGCTGAGGATGCTCAAGATGATCATCCTTCCTTTAGTGGTTTGCAGTTTGATCTCTGGCGCTGCGAGTCTGGACACGCGCTCGCTGGGGAAGCTCGGAGGGATCGCCGTGTCTTACTTTCTGGTGACCACTCTGATCGCTTCATCCATCGGGGTAGCTCTCGCCTTCATCATCAAACCCGGCGTGGGAGCAGGAGCGCTGAACACCAACAACTTAGGGCTGGAAGGCGTGAGCTCCAACAAAGAGACAGCAGATTCGTTTTTAGACCTTGCAAGGTATTATTTGGTAATGGAAATGATAACAATAATAACAATAGCCTATCTTTCAATGTGAGAAATACAGCAGTCCACTATATGGCAGCGCTTAATCCGCGCCTGCAAGTTCCCGGCATGATTAGCTGTGTGTGTGCAACACTCACGAATGCAGAAGACGTGAGCGCAGATCATGTGACAAGTTCATTCTTTACATCCTCTATTCTTTTTTAGGCATTTAAATGACACATTGATTTGCATTTAATTATTACCAGAGACAGGGAAAAAAATAGCTGGAAAAATGCTCATATTTCTTGCAAGAGAAAGTTCTATCCCACACAGTGTGAGTTCAGCAAAAGCGGAGCAAATATGATTGATAAGCTTCTAAACTTACTAATCAATTAATAACTGTCAACAAAAATTATTTTGTTTTTAATTTGTTAGTCTGTTTTAACATGTCAAGGTATAGTGTGACACTTTATAAAACTGTTCTGATGGATTTTAATCATTAATTATCATATATTATTAGTTATCCTGGCATACATCATCATGTCATACAACAGTTAGAAGCCAGGATATTTCATAACGGCCCAATTGTTGCTGTGCTATATAGGACAGAAATAAGGCTACATAAGGCTACCTCTGTGTTACTTTTCTGATGGTGGCTGGTTTTACATGATTTTTGAATAGTACAGTGCCATCTGAAATTTTCTTCTAAAATTAATATTTTTCTCAGGCTCCTATGTTTATGTTCAGTTATTTCACTTTAATGGCAAAGAAAAGAACATATTCATTGCCATTCAAGCGAAATTACTAAACCTACACATAGGAGCCTGAGAAAAATGTTTAATTTATAAGAAAATTTCCAAAAGATACTTAGAGGCTTTTGCATCTGAACTCTTCAAATAGGCTTAATAGTCTTTAGCTGCTCCAAAACAGACTACCATCTGGTGGGGTTGTGATAGACCTAGACCTGGATCAGACTGGTTAGGGCTGGTAGACCACCATGGACTAGTAAAAAACAAGCACCAAATTAGCCAAAAACATCTAGTTTGTCAATCAGCAACATACATTTGAAAATTTGATTTTTCATAAAAGAAAATAACTTTTGAAGATTTTTTTTTTGTAAATTCCAGCAAACATGTTTACTATCAATTTAAAATCACTATCCTTCTTTTTTTACCAATCTGAAATTACATCACAAAAAAATACACTTTTTAGTTGTTCAATCTATGTGGGACAAAGGTGCCCATATCTTGAAACCTGAGACCTGTTAAAAAGTTTTTCTTGTTGGAATATAAATCTGCTGTGAAATTATGTAATAAACTTGAAGAACAACTGTATAATAGGCTTGCATGAACCTGAAGAAAATACATTTCTTTTTGCCTCATAGTTCACAGGGTTACTAGATTAATCCTCTTTTTAACTCAGGTCATATGACGAATAAGAACTCAACTCAGTTTAGTTTAAAATAATCCATTATGTAGCCCAAGTGAATGATTTGGGATATGGATTTGCAGATACAAATATTGATTTGTACGGATCAATGCAAAACTTCTTTTATGGGTCACTCATGCTGCAAACCGGTGGGAATTTAGCAAAGAAACATCAGTGGTGTCCATCTGTGATGATAAGAGCTCATTTTCACACATCACTGGTTTATCTTTCTTGCTTGTTTTTCCTTTTCAGAAACCTGTTTCCATCCAACCTGGTGGCCGCAGCTTTCCGCTCAGTAAGTTACTTTTTTCCTCCAGCTGTCACTAAAACACACACACTCACACAAACAGATATGTTCAGAATTAATATTTGTAGACCATTTGCTCCATGTTAACAGCTCCTTCATCTCTAATTGAGAGAGTCACAAAATGGAGTAACCATTTTTGTCCCTGCTCAATAAATACCTCCCATCTTCTCTCACCACTAAGCAACCAAGCAGTTACCATAGCAAGCTGATTCCATTCCTTGGTGCCTGGCAACCTGGCTTGGTTCACTGGGTTGTACCACATAGGCAACTGCTCAACAGTGAGCACGCTCTGCTCAAAGAGAGGTCAGGAGGTTCGGTGGCCAGGGTGGGAGATAACACCTCTGTGCCTATGTGGTATGTGGACGATCCCATTGACACAAACCGAACGGGCACCCAGTTATCAATTTGTAAAAAAATATGTTTTTGCAAAGGCCAAAGTAGATTTAGAAAGAGAAACAGGGTCATTAGGTGCAGATGGGATGTTTCTTTATCCAGTGGGAGAGTGTTTCTTTATCCAGTGAGATTTCCATCGACATTTACCTGGATGGAGGCCAGAAAGGCTTTAAAAGAGAAGAGACAGAGATTAGCAGGATTAATACAGAAATGCCTGGGAATTATTTTAATGGCCTGTTACAAACGGACTGGTCTGAACTAATTCTTGTAGATATATTCCAGGTTGTCTTAACTGACACATGTTTATGGATTTTAATTTTGCTATCACTGCAACATCAGATTATACAAACACTGTAAATTAATTTCAGTTAAAGACGTATTATATAGATACAGCATCTGAACCGTTAGAGCAATTTCACACAAATACATTTTTGCATTCCACTGCACCGATTTTTAATATGTAAAAACAAGTTTTTCTATGAAAACATGCCATCCATCTTGTAGTTTTTTACTACGCCAAAAAGAAGATTTTTTTTTTACTAAGGCTGTCAAATTATTAATCGCGATTAATCGCATCCAAAATAAAAGTTTTTGTTTACATAATATATGTGTGTGGACTGTGTATATTTGCACTGTGCACACACATACAGCATATATTTTGAAAATATTTACATGTATTTACATGTATATATTTATATTCATAAAATGTATATTATATATAAATATATTTAATATATAAACGTAACATATTTTTCTTAAATATATACATGCATGTGTGTGTATTTATATATACATAATATATATACACAGTCCACACACATATATTATGTAAACAAAAACTTTTATTTTGGATGCGATTAATCACGATTAATCGCTTGACAGCACTATTTTTTTTTTTTACCATTTATTTCTATTTCTTACCTCACCTATTCCATTTCTACTTTTGAGAGAGTAAGGATTCACAAAAACTAAACTGAGTGCTCCAGCTCATATAATTGGAGTTTTTGAGGAACAGGGGTTCTGTGGGGGATCAATGTCATTGTCTCTGTGTACACCAGTCTCAAAGTCCTCTTCAGCTAAACTTTAAATGCTGCTTTTGTGAGTATTTTGGCACTAGAAACAGGCTCAGTGCAGAGAAATAATCAAATGCATCACAGTTCATGAAGCTGCACACTGGAATGGATTGAAATCGGTCAGAATAGCTCTGTGATAAGCACTGCATGTAGCTCAAGATGTTGTCCTTCTCTGTCTCTTACTTTTGTCACAGTATGTCACTGATTACAAGACAATTCTTGTTGGAAATGGAACAAATGGAACCCTCAACTACCAGAAGGTACACAATCTCTTCATTTTCTAATAATATTTTATTATTACTTTATAATAATACAAAATACATGTAATTATGTGTTACTTAGCATTAGGTCCTTTTCCTATGTTAAGAATGCACCGTCAAATACACAATTGTCAACACACACATCATGCCACTTGTTGAAATGTCAGTTGAACCCAGTCATTTTGTGCTTCTTAAAAAAATAAAACTCAAGTCCAATTGGGGCCTCTTGGCTGGTTTTATGTCCGACCACTCAGTAGTGTTGGCTCTTTGGCAGCCTTGAATGAGCTTGCTCTTTGTTTGCACAGGGCCAGGGTTGACGCAGCCGGTTTTGCTGCTCCTGTCCCACTGAACACTCAAGCAGCTGGAGATGGCAAGCCTTTCCTAGAGGGCTTTTTCAATGTGCCTCTCATGTGTCTGCATTCTAGTCTCAGCAGTGGGCTTGCAGAATGACTCAGGGTGTGCAGACTTTAAATTATTTTTTATTTCTAATGAACATTTGTTTTTCTATCATTATATTAGTACAATCAGTTAAATCCTGTCCCACAAGCATGCAGATCGCCACAGAATATGAAAGTTTATGTCCTACCACTTGCAATTTAATATGTTTAAATCTATTCCATCAACATTTCCTTTCAAATTCAGTCCTAATTATGCAAAAATTTAAAGTTAACATATTGCATCTGAACTACACTATGTACTGCTGTATGTGATTAGCCTTTGTATAAATTATCTACATTACATCCTGGCTCAGCTAAAATGTTTCATATCTGCTGGTGCATGGGCAAATATGTGAGCAATCCCTCAGAACGCTTGAGGTCCATAATTGCATAAGTAGGGCTTACAGAACAACCAGTACTGTGTGCCAAGTGATAAGCCATGCCTGGATGTGCGATAAAGCCCAGAACAAGGGCAGGATTCAGTTGAACGGTAGCTCAGTCCCGTCAGATCTTCATCACCCCACTGCCACCACCACTGAGGGAAAGTCAGTTTCGTCTTTTGAAAGTCTCTTGTCCATGCACAATCATATCCAATTCAGTGACAGGGAATATGAGTGAGAACAATAGTTAATATAGGTTAATTAGCAAAATCAGCATTTATCAGAGCACATTAATGTCACATTTTGTTGCTTAAAACAATGTCAGCTTCTAATTTAGTTTGCTGTTGCATTGTTCACCTTTGACCAACTGTGTGCTGCCACGAAAACATTAAAAAAAAATGCTGAATGGCAATATTATTTGATTGTCCACTTATGTAAGCCAAAGACAAACATGTTCTGGTGGTTTTCAGGTTCCCTATGGAACAGATGCAGATGGAATGAATATTCTGGGCCTTGTTCTCTTTGCTATGGTTTTTGGAGTTGCTTTGAGAAAGCTTGGTGCAGAAGGAGAAGAGCTCATTCGCTTTTTCAATGCATTCAATGAAGCCACCATGGTACTGGTGTCTTGGATCATGTGGTAAGTAAAGACCTTTGATCAAATCTTTCTATCTATCTATCTATCTATCTATCTATCTATCTATAATATTTAACATGTATCATTTTATACATTATAAAACCTAAGTTGTACCATGCACATCATGTATGATACATTCTGTTGTTTTGTCCTTCAGGTATGTGCCTTTTGGCATAATGTTCTTGGTTGGCAGTAAGATTGTGGAGATGGAAGATGTGGTTCTGCTGGTCTCTAGTCTGGGGAAGTACATTTTTGCCTCTATTCTGGGCCACATCATCCATGGTGGCATCGTCTTACCTCTTATCTACTTTGGGTTCACTCGTGCAAACCCCTTCAGTTTCCTGTCTGGCCTCATTACACCTTTCACCACCGCCTTTGCTACCTGCTCCAGGTACTTTGTTATATTTCATATATTTCTGTAGTCCTATAAGCAGGTTAATTTGGCACCCAGAATGTGACTAAAAAGCTTTGTTTCCTTTTTTTCCTGGAATCACTATAGTCCTGCTAAATCTTTAGTAGTGTTGCTGATATGCAAAAACCTTGATTTGTTGGCAAAGGGCCCTTAATCAGGTTGACAAAGTAAGATTCTTGAACGTCTTTTCCATAATTTGATGGTTTATTTGCAGTCTCAACACTTTTGGACTAGTTGAAAGCAGTGTTGTTATTGTTTAATAAAGCTAAAACGATTACAAAATGTTTTAAATTTAAAACCTTAAATGAAAATTTTGAAATGTTGTCTAACCGAAATAAGTTTAAGCTGAAGTACTAAAATTGGTAAAACCGTAATAAAAATATATTAAAACTTAATAGAAATCCAAAAAGAAAAAAGAAAAACTAATAAGAATCCAAAAGCACATAGCAAAATCACTATATATAGAAATATAGAAATAAAAGCTACATCAAAAAACTGATAGATATTATTATAGTATATAAATAAAACTAAAATATCTCTGATTGGGCCTGAAGTCATTAAAATTTAGTTATAATGTTTTTTTTCCACCCGTAGAATGGCTATGACCATTATTACATCTAATTTCCCATTACATACTTATACTCTGTCTGTTTTCTGTGCCTGTGCAGCTCAGCGACACTGCCTACGATGATGAAGTGTGTGGAGGAGAACAACGGTGTCGACAAACGAATCAGTCGGTTCATTTTACCGATTGGAGCCACTGTCAACATGGACGGAGCAGCCATTTTCCAGTGCGTTGCGGCTGTGTTTATTGCCCAGCTCAACAACGTTGAACTGAACGCAGGCCAGATCTTCACAATCCTGTGAGTGTACATCGCTATCAGGCCTTTCTTCAATCAGCAGCAGTATTGATAGATACCCTGAAACATTCCTGTATCTATACTGGTTACATGCAACATGCTCTATATCTAAACAAGGCAGGGATGCTAAGCTTGATCTAAATTTACAAGCAACACACACTCAATCTCTGGAGCCTGTCCCAGTGCGCAAGGTTACACTGTTGAGTGTGTAGCAAGCGATGTAGAGCTGAGGCTCTGATGGAGGTTTGGATGATGATAAATGAGCCATCACCATTCTGGCTGTTAGAAACATGGTACTTAACTCCAGGGAATTTGTTTCTGTAATAAGTGAACCGTTAATCACTTAGGAAAAAGCATCTGCTAAATGACTGCTTATTTGCTTATTCAAAGGGTGACAGCCACTGCCTCCAGTGTGGGAGCAGCAGGTATTCCAGCTGGAGGCATCATCACCATCGCTATCATTCTGGAGGCCATAGGTCTGCCCACCCATGACCTGTCACTCATGTTGGCTGTGGACTGGATTGTGTAAGACAGCTTCTACCATTTATATTCAATATCAATAAATTGATATATGATATACTGATTAATTGCATATATCTCATATAATCTCATTTATCAATATTAGCTCAGTGTTGTGTTTTTGAGTTTCCATATCAGTGTCAAATTTACTGGACAGGAAGAAAATGTAAGAAATGTTTCTTGAGCAGCAAATCAGCATATTAGAATGATTTCTGAAGGATCCTGTGACACTTAAGACTGAGTAATGACTGCTGAATAATCAAATTATAAATGCATAGTGTTTATATAAAAATATATAAAAATAGAAAACAAAAAAATAGTATGAAAACTGTAATAGTATTTCAAAACATTACTGTTTTTACTTTTGATTAAATAAATGCAGCCTTGGCAAGTATAAGAGACTTAAATAACTTTAAAAAATCTTACTGAACCCAAACTTTTGAACCGTGGTGTATTTATATGTAATAGTATAAAGTATAAAATAAATATTTTTATGTATACATAATTACAAAAAAAAAAACTTTTTTATCATTCTGATATCTTTGCAGCCTATTTTTGTGTAAAGCATCGTAAGATTATCAGAATCAAAAATATTAAACATATGCATACAATATATACATACAGTTTTTAACTCTTATGTAATCTGTTGTGTTAACAAACTGTGTCTGATGTGTGATCAGAGACCGAACCACTACTGTTGTGAACGTGGAGGGGGATGCACTCGGTGCTGGCATTCTTCACCACATCAATGAGCAAGAGATGAAGAAACAAAGAGAACAGGAACAGCATCAAGAGGAGCAGGAACTGCAGGAGGTGAAGGTGGAGGTGGTGGCTAATGTCAAAGCAGAAGAGGAGACCTCCCCTCTCGTCACACACCAGAACCAAGGAGACAGTTCCTCACATGAAACACTCGACAAGGACGGTGTGGAGTCTGTGCTGTAAAGTGCCGACTGTGGTCTCTTCTCTTTCTTCTTCACTCTTTCTCTATCTCACTCCTTTAAAAACCACTATAGACATGATGTTGCCACTAGTATGAAGTTTACGTCAAGCATAAAGTTTATTCAGATCTATGAGTGGAACACTAATGGTCAGTTTGCTCTTTTACATTTAGTACTTTACAGGACAGGTTCTGTTATGATAATCTTATCCAGTTGTGCCAAAATTATTTCATATTGTCATTTTTGTGTTTGGGAACATGACCCAGATGATGTGCAAAGTCTAAAAGTGTAACATTTCCACTCTGCGAGCAGATATTTGGTAAAGAGATGGATAGTAATGAAAATCATTCACAGACTGACCTCTTGCTCTGTTTGTTTGCTATATTTTAACTGACTGTGTGAAACATTAACTATTTTGAAGATAGACCGGAAAGTATTTGCTGTAAATATTTGTGTGCCTAATGGCAAATCCTGTTGCATTGTGGTATTGTCCGTTGATTTATTGGGGACTATATCAAAACTGTGCATGTGTGCTTGTGAAGTAGGCCTACTCTTGGGAATTCTAGCAGATTCCGAGCTTGTGCTTTATGGTTTTAGTACTTTCAAATCTGGTGAACTTTAAATTTCAAGTGAACATCAAGCTCACCGTGTCCCAATGTGCATACTATCCACCCTATCTGCCCTAAATAGTATTGAAAATTACTAATATCACATAGAATTTAGGATGGATAGTATGCACATTGGGACGCAGGCTCAGAGATTGAGACAAAACTCAGTGTCACAGGTGATATTCAACCTGATGATGAGAGACACACTGGAGTTCAAACATTTCCTGATAGACCTCCATTCTTTACATACATGCTGTCGACCCAAGAATATCACCCATGGTATCTAGTGACACCTAGTGGTCGATGGAATTATAAACATTGACTTTGTCTTGATTTTTTTTTTTTGTACATTCTATGCCCAATTTGTAAGTTTGGCCATTAGTTAAGAAGTAAACGATTTTAAAACGACAATTTGATAAGTATGAATGAGCTTAATTTATTCTAATTGTTTAGCCTTTTTTACCGCATTGAAAATTATTTTTCGTAATCTGTTGCTATGAAAAGATTCAGATGTTAAAGGGTTTATATGAACTCTAAAAGCTGTTAATTAGTAATTGATTAGTGTGTTTTATGTGCATTTTCTCCTTGTATTTTTTCACTCTCTTTTAACTGTGTGTTATCTTGTTACCGACGTGTCTGTCTGCTTTTACCATTAAATCAAAAGCCTCTGATTTACATGCAGTTTGACGATTTTTATGCAATTGCATTGTTATGAGAATCTAATCTTAGATCTACATTGAATACATACTCCTTTGTTTGACAGGGATAATTATTTTTGGTAACTAATAATGCAACTGTTTCCTGTGTGGATACAAAGAGCTTGTCCTCCAGGGGGCGCTTAGGGGCAAACACGTCGCTTTTTTCCTCACTGGAGACGTTTGTACACTAACGTGTGATCTTTAATCAACATGTGTAATCTTTAATATAATTTTGCAAGGATTTATAGCGAATACGTAAACTGAAATCACTCACAGCAATTTCTATAGTTCTTTTTAAATCCTCATTCTATAATCACAAACGACTGTGATTGGTCGTTTATGACCAGCGCTGAGAAATGTAACAGGCCAGGCGTGACAAGACGCTATTTCAGCAGCGGTTACATGACTGAATAATGACCATGAAAAAACTTTAACAAAGGTCTCTGCCAATGTTTCCCCCAAATAACTGGTCGTTTAAGCCACATTATCATGTGCATGCGTATTAATATGAAACTTGTGTCGGTGTGACTGAACTTTGGCTCGTGCAATTTCATGTCGCTATTGGCTGGAAGCGACAGTCTTGCGCTGCTTGACCCGCCTCTGTGTTATGAACCGTTTCTTCCACCGCTTGGATTCCACAACAGCAGGGTTTTATTTATCGCATTATATCTCTAAACTATAAACGTAGTTCGTGGAGCTGAGCTGCCGAGGGATTTTTGCTTAGTCCAAACCGGTACGTAAATACAGTTTAAGATCAATTATGCAGGGTGTTGTTCAGCAATGAAAGCCAAGTGAAAGTGATGTCGACAAGAGGTGTGAAGCTGCTGTATGACAGATTAATATTCCTGGCTGATACATAAATTCCTTAGCATCACTTTGTGTGCTGCCGCTTGTTGTGAAATGCATTTCATCTGTCATTTCATTACTGATGCATATGTTACTCAAGAATAATTTTACTTTGTTTATTCTAAGCCTTAGTCAAAATATTTTCCGTACAAGAAAGGTATTCACTAATTCACTATAAATAGCTTTCTCAGGCCACATCAATGTGCACGTTTTCATTCTTGTTCTTATTATAGAACTTATTTTAGCATACCTTTGTGTTGTAGCTTTCCTTGTATTATTAAATCCTACAACGGTTAAATGAACCTCTGATATGGGAGACACACTGTTTCCTCTATTTGCCTACCTTTGTGTAGTTTGCATGGTGTTTAATTACAGAATCACTGAGAACTTTAGTATAGTGGTTGCAGGTTGTGGCTTACAAAACAAGCAGATTGTATTTTTATTGAGAATTGTACGCTGTGTGTTTTATGTTTAAATTGATTTAACAGTGTTCCCAGTGTTTCTCAGAGGAAATGTATAATGCAGACACTGTGCCTTCTTTAGGCATTTGTTTGATGACCAGGCTGTCATGCTAACTGTCAATCAAGCCCATGGGCATCCCTAGGCCATTTTTAGGGGAGCTATAGCTATATTTTGCCATTAGCTCTATAAACTACACGAATTCGGGATCGCCTCAGTCCCCTTTAAAGGGTTAGTTCACCCAAAAATGAAAATTATGTCATTAATTACTCACCCTCATGTCGTTCTAAACCCGTAAGACCTCCGTTCATCTTCGGAACACAAATTAAGATTTTTTTGATGAATTCTGAGAGCTCTTGGACCCTCCCATAGCTGCATCACACGGATACATTTTCTACTTGTTTACACTTTGATTTGAACGAAAACAACGTATCCGTGTGGTGCAGCTGACACAGAATAGCATACGCTGTTTACCTTCAGTGGATATTCTCCAAAATTGCATCAGGGTGACGCGGAGGAGACGAATTGTTGAATAAAGTCGTTATTTTTGTTTTCTTTGCGTACAAAAAGTATTCTCGTAGCTTCATAAAATTACAGTTGAACCCCTGATGTCACATGGATTATTTTACCGATCTCCTTGCTACGTTTCTGGACCTTGATCGTGGTAATTACATTGCTGTCTATGGGAGGGTCAGAGAGCTCTCAGAATTCATAAAAAATATCTTAATTTGTGTTCCGAAGATCAACAGAGGTCTTACGTGTTTAGAACGACACGAGGGTGAGTAATTAATGACAGAATTTTCATTTTTGGGTGAACTAACCCTTTAAACTGCATATGAAAACGGCGGCAGACTTCGATCGGCTTCTCCTGAAACAGACCACGGCGGCGCAGAGCGAGAAACAGAGGACAAGGTGTGTGTTTATCGATAGATTATAATATCTGCATTTGTGCAGTTCTTTGTCATAAATCCAGTTTACAAAATATCACGGGGGAGCAATAATCGGTTCCCCATCTACTGTAGCCTAAGTTTTCACTGCGTTCACCCCTCATCACACCACCGCTGTTTCCTCCAGCGAAAATGAAGCACATATGAAAGCATACTTTATAAAATGATCATGTTGCCATTTTCATTTGAAAATTTAACTTTCAATATAATACATATTCCAGTGCATGTGGCAAAGAGGTTTGCATACTTGAGCTAAGGAAAGAGGGTTGTACTAGAAATATACAAACATTTTGTGTGTGAGATCATGAAGACTTGAATTTGGCTTATTCAGTACTCAAATGTTATACCTATCTATGCAATACAGTGGAATACTGCAATAAGTTTAGTATACGACCCCTATAATCAAACATTTTTTATTTTATTTATATATTTCTTTTTGTATTATTTGGCTATTATTATTATACCCTCACTGTGGGCTGAGCCCCCCTAAAATGAAAATCCTAGAATCGCCCCTGATCAAGCCTATATGACCTTCTATAGGATTTGCACTGTTTGAATTGATCTAGTGCCATTGTAGCCCAAGGATCAGTCTCAGAACAACTTGGCTGGCTTTTATGTCCACAAATAACATATTGATAGAATTTGTTTTGCTTCCTTGCTCTACAATACAAAGTAACCAAATTCATACATATAGCCCTGCAAACTGTCAGTAACAATTATGAGAACCCTGTCAGCAAGTGTCATATTAAAATTAAAAGGAACTCCGTGAGGGTTCAGTGGTGAAGACACATGATTGTCTTTGTTTGCATGCAGGCTATGATTTAAATGTCCCCACGTGATCACCTCTCATGACATGTCATTTTCTGTCGGTTGCCATGGAAACCAGGCTTCTCAGCCAATCAAAAAACAGATACAGTCTAGTATTCTACAGAGAAATAGTACAAGAAACTGCTTTGTCTGCACGCTGTTGCATTTATCAGCGTTCATCTGACACATAATCATATAAGTCAAGATATTATATTTTGCCACTGTACAGCAAGTATTATATTTAATTAGTAAATTATTTTTCATTAAATGTAATTAATTTATAATTTTGTTTTTAACTAATTAATAAATTTTTTACTTTTAATTTAAGATTTTTCATAGATTAAATCTGTTAGTATAGTAGTAGTCATTTTGTAGTTAGGGATGGACAAATAGCATTCACGAATTTCAGGCAAGCCTGAACATGTAGCCTTTATGAGATTGCTTATCCAGATCAGAAGTAACTCTATTCGCGTAAACAAGCCCTGCATCATGTTAGACCACACTTATCACAGAGCTTATTTAAGCAGTGTTTAATACACAGTGTTGTTATGACCTTTTAGCTGTCACTCTGGCCAAATGAGGAACCACAGAATCTGGATGTGTTGCTATGACACTCGGAGTTGACAAGGCCTGATCAGACACCTCCTCACAAATGGAGAACACGAGCTATGGGAGGTGGAAGACCAGGATCCCGGAGTTCATTCGCAGCGGTCAAACTAGACCCCTCAGTCACAGAGCAGTTGAGAGGACAAGGCCTGCAAATGTCCAGGAGGCCAAGGACTCAGACAAAGAGAGGAGTGGCAGCAAAAAGACAGTCACTATGGCACCTGTTTCCAGGTATATGCCAGACAAAAGCCTCTATATCATGAGAAAACCACTGATCTCCACACAATGGCAGGTGCCCATCCTGAAGAACTCATCTACACATGAAGACTCAGAGAGGGTAAGAATATAATGAAACAAGTCTTGGCGAGCTGGTGAGGATTTTTTTTACTGAATTTCCAAATTTGTACTGAATTTTGCATCTAAAATGTTTGTAAAAATAATTTAAAACCATCCAGTTAGAGGTTTGAATCAGATTCATTTAGTCAGTTAATCATTCAGAGCTGTTGCTAAGCCACAACTGACTCCCTAACTAAGCCATCAGTAATTTTTTGGTTATGTCTGATTCGAAATGAATTTCGAATTTCGAAGATTCTCTAGCCTATTCATCAAAAATCCTGAAATAAAACGGTTTCTATAAAAATAGTAAGCAACAGTCTTTTCAACTGATAATAATAAGAAATGGTTTTTGAGCACCAAATCATCATATTCGAATTATTT